CTGATTTTATTTTTCCCTACTCAAATGTAATGCAGTTTTGAAAAGAGACAATACTATAATATCATGGATTTTAAAAATTATCTTACACTGGTACAGGTGCTTGGTGGTAAAGCACTTGGTTTTTGAACCAAGAGATCCCAGGTTAGAATCTCTGTGTAGACTTGGATTTTTATTTCAGAATTTTAAGGACGCCACAAAGTCCAACCAACTCTAATGGGTACCTGACTTTAGTTGGGGAAAGTAAAGGTGGTTGGTCATTGTGCTGGTCACATGAGACCCTGCTCATTAACCATTGGTCAAAGAAATATAGATTGCAAGGTCTGAAAGGGGTAATTTACTAATTTTACTAAACTTATATTGGTACACAATATATAATCCACACAATAATACTAGTTATTCCATGTACAATGATTTAAATGTTCAACCTTTATAGAAAAAAAATTACACATTTAACTCACTAGACTGAACTTTAAACTGATCTGACTTGCACATATCTTAGTAGTCTACTGTTGTCCAGAACTGGATCACCCATCAGCAACCTATTTTTTTTCAATAGGTTTCTTTGAAATTTTTACTTTAAACAAGTGTTTTATTTGTTTTCAAATTTATTATCTTTTGGCTTATTTATTTTAGTTTCAGGACAACTTTATATACCAATTGCTTAGTTTCTGATGTCACATGTGTGCCGGTAACACTAATGGTAAAGTGGGTCAAAGAAAATCAAATGCAATGTTATTTTGTTTGGATATGAATTTTTAAACTACCCTAAGTTTAACTATCAACTGCTTTCTAGCAGCAGGGGTTTTTGTAAGCATTTAGGACATCGTTGAGTATATCTAGCTCTGTTGGGTACTGTACATCGTTTGTGGAAATTAAAGTTGGTAACTATTGTGCTAGCTTCTGGCACATTAATGACACATGGGATCTTCTGCTGAAAATGGGATGTGTGGATTGAGTGGCATAAACCTCTTGGCTATGTTAGCTTGAGTTTGTAGCCTGTCTAGGACTATGATTTTTTAATTTTGGAGTTGACTCAGGCTGGGCTGTTTTTGTTGAAATCTTCTGATATGTCTCTCCCCAACCCTCAATTTCTATTGGACCAGAGAGCTTTTAACATGCTATATGAGCTTGGAAGACACACTATACAAAAGTAGTACTAATAATGCTAAATGGCTTTCCAATATACAATGCCAACAGTGGGATGAATAACTTGTGGCTTTGAACTTTTTCAGGCTGATTTCATCTTGGTCTGTGTATCCCCTAAATACATACAAGACATTGGAGATGCTGGCAGCAGGAGAAACAAAAATCTGCCTCAAGTCAGTGAACGCAAACTTCACACCAAAGAAATTTTTAGCCTGATGGAAAACGAACATTTGAAAAGCAACGGTAATGGTGCAGCCAGGCAGGTTCAGATTGTACCACTAATGTTTGGAGGCATGCAGCCCACTGGCCTGCCAACCTGGATGACTACCAACCAGCCTGTGTACAGGTGGCCTGATCAATACCTGGACCTTGCTTGGCTGCTTACTAAACCGCAGGAGCGGATAAAAGAGTCCAGGCGCTGCATGGATTGACTGTTACAAATACACAGCTGGAAGCCAAAAAATGTTGATTGTTGTTTTAAAAATCTTTTTTGTCAATTATGTTGATATGCTGTTGTTTCATTATTAGTTGACCATACACTCATACAAATGTTATTTATAAAAATTTATTTTTCTTATTATCAATATAAGAGAAAGATCTAACAAATCTTTTTCTTTCCTATTAATAAAAGTGTCCTGAAAGATTACCATCTTTTTAATGCTTGAAATGGAAGTCAGTTGTATATTATCCATTAGTAAATGCTTCAATGTTGAAATGCTCTGGTTCTACACCGGATAGAAGCTTTTTTTTTTTTTTGTACTGTTGATAGTTTAGAGTTTAAGAAACTGTTTTGCATTTATTCAGTTAGATGGTCTTTTGTAAAGAGTAAAATGTTGAAACAAAAGAAGGCATCTTGTACTCTTGCTACTTGTAGTTCCATGTTAACATTTTTTTAAATGTTATTTTGTCTGTGATTGCAATGTACCTATGATTCAATTTTTTGTAGCTTTCTTATTACAAATATGTGTTCTAAAAAAACTAATTTGATGCTTTAGGTTCTGTGTACAACTGACACCTGTTTACCACAGACCATGTTTTGTCTGTCTTGATCACATTTGTAAGTACTGTCAGCACTTTCCTGGTTTACTGACAGCTTATATATATGTACCAAACATTCATCTTTACTTGTGTGACAAAAACCTTCAAGGTTGACTCACTATTGCTCTGTATTTATTTTGTACGCATTCTTCTTAACTCTCTTTGTGAACCACACATGTACCGGTACTCATAATTTTTGGAGTCATGGCTCTTTAAAGTCTAACAAGATTGATGACGTTTACTTAAACTGGCATTTTTTAAATTAGGTTTGTAGTTTTTCTCAGTTCTCTAAAACAGTCTGTAAGAATTGTATATCTAAAAGTACTTATAAAAAGAAGCTGAACTATATATCTCATATTATCTCTGTCATATTACCTTCATCAAGACAATTTCCCTCGTGCCTGGTCCACCTCCCCACCTTGTTCAATGCATAAAATGGCAGCATCTTGGAATTCACTGCCCCATACACTGAAAGATTTGTAGATAGATAGACTTGAGCCATTTTATAAACCAGTGGTTCTCAAACTTTTTCTGACCTGGGGACTCCTTTATATACAGTCAAAACATGCCCACAGACCCCTAAGTGAAAAAGCTACATTAATGTATAGTAAGGCTATTCAAGTTACAAAAGTAAAAAAATTTTAAGGCTTGTTAATTGAGATTATAAAAAAAATTTTAAAGTAATTTTTTTTAAAATTAATCACTTGGATGAGGTTGATAAGATTTTATGAGTGTATTTATGTCTAGGTCAATGTTTGTAAGTAGGAACTGCAAATCTCAACGATCACAAATTTCTAGTTGGTTTCTTATATTTGTAATGAGGTTCATTGCGCAATGAATCCACGCTGTACCAAATAAGAAGTCAACAACTTCTGTATAATGACTCCTAATGCAGGATCTAAAATTGAAATCTGTTTTTTTCTAACCAGAATTTTGGATATCCTTGTTCAAATATTGGTTAATTTTCATCAGTTGTGACTATTTCAATAAGCTACTCCTGTATTAGTATGGACTTATCTGTGATTAGGATCTGAATTTGTCCATGCGCAAAAGGGTTCATTGCCTAGTCACAAATATCCAAGTGTTCAAATCTTTGGTTAAGGTTGTCACATGTAATAGACATGTTAAATAGTAGTGATTAGTAGTAGAGAGGGGCGAGTTGATTATAATTCAAATTATCTTATCAGATGAAATGTCTTTTAGAGAGGAAGTTATTTTAATTGTATTCTATGTTCATCTTTTTGCAAACCCCTGACCACTGTTTGAGAACCACTGCTATAAACTATCTAAGTTTATCAATATCTTAGACATGACGAATTGGAAATAGTTGGCTGCGCATCAGAATTATGTCTCATTTTATTCTTTCTGGGGAATTAGATTTATTAAATAGTCATTTGCTCGTAACCCATCTCCCAGTTCAGGGAATTTCAGTTCTATTTAATTTCAACTTTATTGTTTAGTCTGTATGCTTAGACCCTAGAAGTCAATCTGCTTAGACTATAGAAAGTCAATCCAAATGCTATCTATGAGGATCTCAGTGCTGAATAGATAAAACTAAATAGAATCAAACACTATTTCATTATTGATAATATTGGGAACTTTTTTTTTCTTATTCTAAAACCGACATGGACAGGTTTTAGTGTACACTATCAAAGTTTGCAACACTTGAAGTTATTTTATATAAGAAATGTTACTGATCCTTCTTAATGTGGTGACCAATGTGTATAGAAAACCTGCCATCATAGGTTTTAATTTCAAATGTGTAAGTCAAAGATCTGTTTGGGCTGAATTGTTTTACAAGCACATGACAGAAAAGTCCCATGTTAAAAATCATGCAGAGAACTGAATGCACAAGACTGTACAGCTCAGTAGCTTAGAAATCTGGCTATAAGAAATCGAAAGCATAAAAGGCAGCAGAAAAAAACCCTGACAGATACTCCTCCTCTATAAATGTCCATACATGCAATGCAGACCAGAGTGCATGAGCTTACCAAGGTACTAATAATTTTATGTCTACATGGAGGAAGAGTACAAATCATTTCAACTTCCCTTCATCTCCACCTTACCTAGTTATGATTGGTCTAGTTATTGTCTAGAATGGTAACACTTCTGACTTATATTAGAGAAAGATACAAGTGTCAATGTTGTTATTGTAAAATGCCTGTTACCATGTGCAGATACTTCTCTTATTGAAATAACTATTGAGTGGCTAAAAAGACAACAAAAAGGGCAAAGGCAAATGAAAGTAGTTGTCCAGAAAGTGTCAATGTTAATTCATTCCTCAAAGAATTGTTTCAAGAACCATTTCAGCCTGATGTGTATATTATTTTGTTGTTCCTTGATAATTAACTTCCAATGTAAGCTTGTTCCCAAAATCGTTGGCCTCATTTTTAGCTTAGAACATATTTTTGTCCTGTCTCAGACACTTGAACATTTTTATTTCTGCATCATCCAGTTGGTTCAAGCAGTTTCTTTTTTCTTTGTTGTTCCATAGACCGACCAAAATGTTGAAATGGAAAATAGCTAGAACAGTCGGTTTAATACAAAAATCTTATCAGTATTTTAAAAGAGATAGAAATGTGGAACTTCAATGGACATGTACTTGAATGTTCAAGCTTTTTCACAATTCATTGTTCTTTTTTTTTTGTTGCCTTTTGTTCATAGTGATAGATTGTTATATATATTTATTTTTTAATCTCAAACCTGGCACCAATACCAAATTTGCATAGTCTAAATATAGAATCTGCCCAAATCATTTCATTGTTGTAAGCACTTAGAAAGTCATTGTTCCTTCTTCCCCCCCCCCCCCCCCCCCCCCTCCCTCCACAGTCAGGATTAGTTGACTTATCATTTAATTGAAATCACTTTTTGTTTTGAGCCCTCAATGCTAATTTGATTGGATACTTTTGTAGGCTTTCATTCATTTTTTTTTTAATTCAGATATTTATTATAAGTTGTGCACTTGAGCATCTGGAAACCAATCTGTGGAAGTCTATGCCTTGAAACATTCAAACACAAATTATCAGTTAATAATTTTGACATCTCGCAGTTAGTATGTAGTAATAATCTCCATTAAATTTTCTTTAACAAACACTACATTCAAATTAAAAATAAATAATTGCATTTGGTCACTGATCAGATGTGTTGTGTTAACATTTGACCATTAGTCAGTAGATTCTGTTAGAATAGACTTTGATATTATTTAATTTCAACCATTAGTATTATTTTAATTTTATTTTTCAAGTTTTTTTTACCGTTTATCTAACTATATAAAAATGTTTTAACATGCTTTGTTGTTTCATCATTTCTTGATCATGACATGCTCTCTCAATGGCTGTGTCTGTATACCATTATTGTAAGAACTTCTGGCTGTTTCTATATGTTTATGTACTCTTTCTTAAGTCAGTTTTATTGTGTATAATTTCTTGTTCTATCTTCTGGCTCCGTGTGTATGTATACTTTCTCCGTCTTCTGGCTCTCGTAACAGCTGTTCAGTTATACTTTTATGGCCCAGTGTTTCTGGCAATTTAAATGGCAGTGTGTATATCTCATCTTTTTTGCTTGCCGCAATACCGATTGTGCCATTTATCAAAATATATTTTTGGTGTGTAAATATTTCTGTAGCTTTGTAAAGACAAAAAGAAAAATAAAGCAACTGGTAAACTTGTTCTGTTGTCTTTTTTTTTCATCATTATTGCTTTAGTTTATTACAGTAGAGAGCGTGATCAATTATAACAATCAATATTAAGCAACATACCAGTATGTGACTTTCAGTCGCTTGAAAACCAAATGGTACCATATTGTACTTGCCTTATTTATCAAGCTGTCTTGTGTTGTTAAGAAAGTAAACAAAAAAATCACTTGTAGGGAAGGAACATTTGCAACTTAAGCTCAACAGTGAGCTAGGTAAGTCTTTGTTCAACAGTAGATCAACTATTACATCTTCTTAGTGAAGTGTTTCCCAAACATTTGACTTATGTGTACCCCTTTTATTCTTTTTGTAATGTTGAGTATCCCCCACCCCACCCCTGACAAGGATGTTGTGTTAATGTTAAATGTTATTTATTCGAAATTGTCTGTTTCAATCAGGGAAATAGTTTTTCAAGCTCATTTGCGAACTGTCCAAATGCTGTGTTATCCATTTCAGAGTATCAGCATCAATTTAGTCGCCGAATTTGTTAGAAACTTATGAAGAGAGGGAAACGATTCTACTTCTCCATTTCCAACTATCTTTTGCCATAAATTTAGTTTTGCGATGGTAGCATTCACTTTCTCTTGACCGTAAAACAATGACTTTTTTCTTCTTGTATGGTAGTGATAAAGTGAGGCAGTTTAAATCAGAGAATATATCTGCTAAATAAACGAGTTAAATCCTTTTCTAGTCATGCAAACTATTCCTCAACTCAGATCTATTATTAAGAAACCATTGGTTCTTGTCTAAGCTCAATAATCGATTTAGAATTTTTCCTTGAGATTGCCAACAAACATTAGTATGAAAAAGAAGCTGTAAAGACCACTTACATACATCTACTTGCGAAAAAAAGTCATGCATCCAAAGGACTGTTTTTAATGTAATTATCTATTTTCATGCTTTCATTTTCATAAAAAACTTTCTACAGATCAATGGACATATTAGGCGCTGCCAAATCCTCTCTGTGTACACAACAATGAGTGGATGTAACATTTAGGGCAACATTTTGAATTCATGCAATACCTTTATTAATTCCAACCATAATTTTCTATCCATCTGTGCTTTTTCCAACACATCTATTCCAATCAATATTGCTCTCTTGCATTATCTGTTCATAGCATTTAAGATATAATCTCCTGTTGTGTGAACTAATAAAGGCTGGCAAGGTAAACATTTCCATGAATTTCTTCCTTTTTTTTTTTTGCATCAAACATACCCCATAGATTTGCAAAATTCACAATATTAACCCACTGTAATTTAGCCCCTCGAAAATGATCTACAACATTAGAGAGTGACAATATGTGGTGATCCTGACCTTTTAAAACCACATATATAAAAACATATTTTAGGGCACATAATAAATGACTTTCCTCTACACATGACGAAGCTTTAGAAAAACACAACCATTTTGCACACTCTGTTATATTTATAAAATTGAACCTTTTCATATCATGATCTTTCTAAATTTCTTTTTAAAATTAAAAATAACACCAGTTATGAGTGTGTACAATTATTAAAGAATGTAAATTTATTATTATTAATAATTAATATAAATTAATTATCTTAACATAATAAAATGGTATTTTTAAAAAAATCATTTAACAAGGTTCAACGCGTACGCCCTTCAAAGTCATCCAATACCCCTGGGGGTACAGGTACCCACTTTGGGAAACAATGCTTTTAGTGATACATTTCAGATGTTACATGTGTTAACAGAAAATTAAGAAGAAAACAATTTTTTTTTAACAGTTTATTATTTTATCATCATAAATCATTGTTTCAAACATATATAAATCTAGGGGAGATGATTGGGCATTGAGCAGAAATTTTTCTGCATTGTTATCATTGTAATATATGGCATACAGACAGACATAATCAATATTCTATAACACTCAATACAAAACAAAAAGGAATAAACATAATAGCTTAACAAAAAATATGAAGATATCAAAAACCTTTAGTCCAGTACAGTTTTTCCATGTGTTTGATTCTACCAATACATAATCAATCTAAACTCTAAGTGTGCTGCAATACAATACTATAATCCAATTCTCTCCCTTAGCAAAATCTAATCACAATATTCATTTGTTCAATACAAATTTACATTTTAATAGTCTCTTCATCATATAACATCATTCTGAACCAAAAGTCAATTTATCTGTTGGCCACTGAAGCTAACTGATCTCTTATTTTACCTAGCCCATCAAGCATTGTGTCCAAAGTCTCTTTACTCAATTCAACACTGACATTTTCTACTCCCGCCGTCTGCTGTATGTTGCCAGGTTGTTCCTGAATCTGTTAACAATAACCAAAAATGTAATAGAGAGAAACGTAAATTTTTTTGTTTTTGGTCTCTAGAGTATATAAATATTTAGATGTATATCAGTTATGAGGGGAAAAGAAGCACATAATTATTACTAATATTTCTAATGTATTTAAAATATTTTCATTACTCAATTTAAAAATGTTTTAAAGAATTCATGAATTCGTGTTTATAAGGAAACTGCAGTTGGACTCTACCTCTAAATTCAGCATACACGTTGGCACAGACATCCTGGCAACAGAATCAGACGAAGTCTTCATGTCCACTCTCCAGTCAAAATCCAAGAGTTTAGGAAGGGATACTAGGAACAAAATGGGAAAAGGAGATTATTAATTTTAATTAGACTGTAATCCAAACCTAAACAAACAAAAAAATTAATTGTGTCATAGTTTTACTGACAGTGTTTTCACCGCCTGGTAGTTGATACTAGATCTAGTTAGTTTAGCTTTTACCAGTATAAAACAATTGCCTGAAATACAGGCAAGCATTTCTTAGACTAGCCTACTTTAATATTTTGATGATTTAATCAGGGCTGATTTTCTTACGCCATATTAAAGGAGAAAGGATGATGGGCTGCTTGGTCGTGCGGTTTAACCGATGGTCCCGGGTTCAAACCCTGCCTGCTCCCATTCCCGGTCGTCCTGCGGGAGGTTTGGACTAGGAAGTAAATTGTCTTCAACTCTGAAGGAACATCCGAAACATATAAACCATTTTACAATAAACAAACATTTTTACAAATGTAACTGCTAAAGAAAGCCAATAAGAGATCAAAAAACGTCCTTGAAGCAAAGGGCACTTCCGTCACGAAGGTCACGGCTCTTCTTTCCGTAGACACATTGCATGTATTGGTGAAAGTTGTAAAAGCCGAAACGAAAGGTAGCCACTAAACCGAATGCGTGAATTATGGGCAATTCCACATACTTTGGTTACATCTGGGGAAGTACAGATCTAGATGCATCTATAGACTCCAGAAATAGAAATGAAGGCTCAGAATATGGGACTATGAAATGGTTTATCTACTCATACTCCAGTGGAAGAAATCGCTACGCTTTTTTTTTTTAAAGTAGAAGCAGTGGACGTTGCCAGGAGACAAGTTGACGCCTACGGATGGATAGTTATAGATTACTCGATCTCATGGCTCAACCCGACATACTAACCACCCTGCTAAAGAGGTGGTAATGAAAATAGAAGATTGTATAGTTATCTTATGTATCTATAAAGGGGACTAATTTTGTTTATATCACCACTTCAGTCAAGTAGAGTTTCTTTCACTTGTTCGAGACACAAAATAGAGCAGTGAGATTCATAACAAACGAATATTCACATTTGACTAGAGTAACACCATTAGTAAAATCACTAAATTTAGAAAGCCTTCAGGACAGAAGACTCAAAAGTAAAGTAGCAATTATACATAAAACACTGAACCATAATCTTCAAATACAAAAACAAAATTTAATAAAATACTCAGAAAGACACAAAGATAAAGGTACATTCCTCGTCCCATATGCTAGGACAAATTAGTACAAATACTCCTTCTTCCCTAGTGCTATTAGAGCATGGAATGGGTTGCCTGAGCTAGCCAGGAAAACAAGTGACTTGGCAGAATTTAAGTCATTGGTTAATATGCATGACTAAATGCATGACGCGTAGGACGTAATCATCTTCTTTTTTGAAGTAACGTCTGTATTATATAAGATAAGAGATACTAAACAAATTAATTAATTAAAAATAGTTACTTAACTAATTTTTTTTATTGATTCTTGTGTTGTCAGGTAAAATAAATAATTGTGCAAAATTTCAGCTTGAGCCGAGATTGGATGTCGTAGAAATAACGTGTACAAACTTTTTACCAGACAGGCAGGCAGAGTAAGTTGATATAAGTTTTGTAAAAACAAAAATGAAGTTGATTATAAAAGACGCCTTTTCTCTCCTCTTCCTAAGCCAACATTTTTAATTTGGGCGGCAGAAGGTGTACAGGAAGTCGATGCACGTCATTCGGTGCTAACTAGATATCTGTTCTATTCTCCCACCAGCAGACGGCCTCAGATTCACAATGTTCCAATGAAGGCTCTGCATAGAGGGTCCCCTTGGGGGTTTCTATCAGAGAACTTTTCCTGAAACTCATAAAGTTGAGCCGTCACTCAAAGGTTGATGTAATCAATGTGTTTGAAAAGAAAGAGTAAGCTACGATTAGCCTCTTGGAGATATTTTAACATGGAGACGCCAAGCAATATAACCTGGAGAACCCAAGCAATATAACCTGGTGACGCCAAGCAATATAACATGGAGACGCCAAGCAATATAACCTGGAGACGAAAAGCAATATAACACGGAGAAGCCAAGCAATAAAACCTGGAGACGCCAAGCAATATAACCTGGAGAACCCAAGCAATATAACCTGGAGACGCCAAGCAATATAACATGGAGAACCCAAGCAATATAACACGGAGAAGTCAAGCAATAAAACCTGGAGACGCCAAGCAATATAACCTGGAGAAGCCAAGCAATATAACCTGGAGAAGCCAAGCAATATAACATGGAGACGCCAAGCAATATAACATGGAGAACCCAAGCAATATAACATGGAGAACCCAAGCAATATAACACGGAGAAGACAAGCAATATAACACGGAGAACCCAAGCAATATAACACG